CCAAAACCGTGCTGGCTCCCATACCTTAAGGCTGGTGATTTTTAACTGCTGCTGCTGCGAAGTTGCTTCAGTCGTGTCCGACTCTGTGCGACCCCATAGACGGCAGCCCACCAGGCTCCGCCGGCCCTGGGATTCTCCAGGCAAGAACACTGGAGTGGGTTGCCATTTCCTTCTCCAATGCATGAAAGTGAAAAGTGAAAGTGAGGTCGTTCAGTCGTGTCTGACTCTTCGCGATCCCAAGGACTGCAGCCCACCAGCCTCCTCCGACCATGGGGTTTTCCAGGAAAGAGTACTGGAGTGGGGTGCCATTGCCTTCTCCAGACTTTAACTGAGGTGAGCCCGATCAGGTATTCGCCAGAGAGCCCTCCGGCTACTGGTGTCTCATTTGCACTTGACAGAGCCCTTAAGGGCCTTCTGAAGAAGGGCCGCTGCTGGACGAGACCAGCCCACCGACAGCCACATGAGGATTATTAGCAGGCATATTAGTTTCCTGGGGCTCCTCTGACAAATCACATAAACTGGATAGTTTAAAACCACACACATTTACTTTACTACAGTTCTGGATGCTAGAAATCCAGATTCAAGGTGTTGGCAGGCCTGGTTCCTTCTGGAGACCTAGAGATCTGTCCCATGCCTCTCTCTTAGCCTCTGGTGTTGCTGGTAGCCCTTGGCATTCCTTGGCTCCTAGATGCCTAATTCTAGTCTCTGCCCCCGTGTTTACATTGTCTTTCTCTCTATGCATATCTGTGTCTCAAATTTCACTTTCTTTTCTCTTGTAAGAACATCAGTTATTGGATTAGGGCCCAGCCTTAATCCAGGATGATCTTGTCTTGAGATCCTTATCTCAATTGCAACTGCAAAGATCCTCTTTCCAAATAAGGTCACATCCTGAGGTGTGGTGTGTGGATTTGGGGGCGGTGGTGCTTAGGACTTGGACCTATCTCCTGACGGAACACCGTCTACCCCACTCTCGCAGCGCATTTGGAAGCCCCACGAGTTACATGCTGAACCTACTTGCTATTACCCCTCCTACCACGTGCAGAGTCCTTTACCGTCTGATATCTCACTGATTACTCTGGAAAGGCTTTGCAGGGGTATCTAAACGTTTGCAGGCTAGACTTAACATTAGTTCATTCATTCCTTACTTACACTCACTCCTGAGCAAGGATACTTATCAAAACATCATAAAACAAAAAAGGTGTAGGTCTTCTAATTCCCGGTCCTCTAAGGATTGAGTTGCATCCGAGGCAGGAGGGTGTTGTGAAGCAAGGGGGATTCTCTGTTGGAGGTGCACTACCGGGCCCTTCTGGCGCGCTTCCTGGTTTACGGCTTTCACAACAAGGAGGGCATCTGGTGGGGCTTTGCTCATTTGGGGGGTCTGTTCTTAGCTACCCCACGTCCCTTCAAAAGACAGGTTGTGTGTACTCACACAAATAAATAAAAGGGAAGAACCGTTCTGCTCCTTTCTTTCCTGGGAGCTGCTGAGGGCAGAGGTGCTGTCCTGCCCTGAGCCAGTCCAAAGCCTCAGCTCCTTAAAGCCTGCCTCCGCTGGTTCTTTTGGTTCATCCTCAACTCTGAATACCTGTAATTTTACTTTACACCTTTATGCTGCTTAAACCGTCCCCTCAAAACTTGCCAGCCTGATTCCTGCAAGCTGGGAACCGCTGGGGCTTTCTCATTGCCCTGTTCTGCTCCCCTTCCTTTCTGTACTGGACCCCACGACCTTCTGCTCAGCCCCGTTTTACTGATGAAGTTGAGGCTTACAGAGTTGACACAACTTGCCCTATGTCTGTGTAACTTGGGCAGTGCTTAGCCAAGGTCCAGTTGCAATCCAGGGGCCTTTCTGTGTCCCCTAAGATGCCTGGTCTAGCAGCAGTTCCCAGGCTTTTTGGATCTTGGAAAACATGGTGACCTGCCACCTCCCCCCCACCTTATTATTGAAGCGCTGCTAAGGAGGGGGCGCTTCCCAGGTGGCTCCGTGGTAAAGAATCCGCCTGCCAATGCAGGAGACCTGGGTTCATTCCCTGGGTTGGGAAGATCCCCTGGAAAAGGAAATGGCAACTCACCCCAGTATTCTCTGGAGAATCCCATGGACAGGGGCTATAGTCCATGGGGTTGCAAAGAGTTGGATACAACTTAGCAACTAAAGAGCAACAAAGTGGGGAGCAGCAGCTTGTATCCTCAGGCCAAGGCTGGTCCAAAAAGTTGGGCAGGGAAGTATTGAGGGCCAGGATGCCGGCTAGGGAAGGCCTCCAGGCTGCTAGCAGTCGCTGTTTGCTGGGCATTGTGCCAAGCACTTAACCCATTTTATCGGCTCATTTTCCAGATGGAAGAAAGTGTGGCTCAAAGAAGATAGGTGATTCAGCACCTGAGAGAGGCTGGAGTGGGATTCATATGCAAGTCCGTCAATCGCCTGCAATGCAGGAGACCTGGGTTCGATTCCTGGGTCGGGAAGATCCCCTGGAGGAAGGCATGGTGGCCCACTCTATATTGTTGCCTGAAGCATTCCACAGACAGAGGAGCCTGGTGGGTTGCCGTCCATGGGGGCTGCAAAGAGTTGGACACGACTGAGTGACTTTGACTTTATGTTAGCCTAGCAAGACAGGGGTCACCAGGCAATGAGTGGTGACTAGAGGGGATGTGACAGACGTGGACAAGCAAGGCCTTCCTGGTCAGAGAGCCCTGGGTTTGGATCAACTCATCACCTGAGCCTTCTTTTCCTCATTTGAATAATGGGCATGGTAACACAGCATGGAGGTACAGTTCCCACCTCCAGGCACCGTGGATAATTTCAGAACTGAAGCAGAGAGCCTGACCCTGCAGGTCCTTTGCAAATAATGGCCACTCATCAGAGGCCATGCCCTTGGTGGGCAGAGGGGCCTTGGGTCTGTCTTTTCACTCCAGTGTCTCTTCCACTCGCATCCACTGGAGAAGAGATAGGAGTCGTCATAGTACCACCTAAGCAGAGTGTAAGCGCAGAGGGCCATGCTGTGCTCTTTGTCAGGGCTTCCCTAAGCTCCGGTCCACTCTTCTGGGATCCTGGCTGGCAACGAGGCAATGACATGTCTGAGCACAGGTCTGCGCTGCCTTTCCAAGCTAGAAATAGGGCAGGGTGCCAGGTAGTTGATTTTCTTACCCACACCATCTCCAGTGTTAGACTCTTGGGCTAGGTCCCTGACTGATAGATGCTGCAAGGGATGCTGCCAGGGACAAAAACTGGCTTGAAGGAGGGAGAGAGAGAAATTCCTGACAACGTGCTACACACTGTGGCACCTCCTCTATGGCAGGACCGTCTCACACCCCCTGGGGGCTACACTAGGCCTGACCCTGGAGCCAGGTCTATTTAAGACAAGCGCCATACCTTGGACTTCAAGATTGTTTTTCCTCTGGCTTACTCCCCAAAACAGCCAGTAACTGAGCAAAGATGATCTAAATATGGGTCCAGGTGGGTGGCTATGGCTCCTTACTGCCTCCCTTAGGGCTCAGAGGTGCCCCCTGCGTTGGGTGGTCTTGGCAGCCTGGGTGGAGTGGAGCCGGGTGGGAGGCCAGGTTCCCTGCCTCATATGCCCTTAATCACATCGGCACCTAGGAACTGGCCCTGCTCCTCAGCACATCCCCTCACCTACACTGCACATCTGAACTGTGGGGCTTCGTTTTCCATGGGCAGCCTGGGCTGGAACTGGATGACTCAGTATTCTCAATAATCACCGACAGTCAGACTGACCGTCTGAACGCCTTGACCCCTGCAGCTCCCCATCACCTGTGGTCAAATTCTGTACTGTTAAACTTGGCCGTCAGCTCCCCACTACCTAGTCTCCCTCCGCATTGAAGGCACGCTGTATCCCAGCCATACCAGACGCCCTCCCTACTTGCTCCTGTTGTTCCCACCAGTGCTACTCACTGGCCACCTGGGCTGGTGCAGGCATCTGAACCAAGAAGACCTGCACCTGAATGCTGGTCCTGGGTTTCTTTACCAGCTGAGTGGCCGCAGGCAAGTTACTGTAGTGCTCAGGTCTCACTGTTCTGGGGCAAGGCCGAACTATGTCTAGGAGCAGGGCACTGGCTCTGCAGGGGAGATTTAAGAGTTTTTTGCCTCAGCATCCTCACCTGCAAAATGGAAATATGACTGCCTCCCTGGCAGGACTGTGGATGTGACTGAAGGGGAACATGAGGCACAGAGGGTCTGACTGCTGTCTCCTTTTATTTTTACTATTCAACCGCCAGCAAAGTCAGGCTTCAGCCTGTCTTCTTTGCAGCCTTAACCCCTTGCCCTTCTGAGGTCCTGACTGCCCTTCTCCCCCTACTTGCTTTTTGCCTGCCCAGCTGCATGTCACCAAGCTTCCCCAATGGACACTGGGGGATGCTCCCTGAAAATGCATGTTTCACCCTGACTGGGGCTTCCCTCCTTGCTTGCTTACCCTGCAACCATGGACTGGTTGCAGCCAGGCCTCAATGCTCATCAACCCTGCCTTCCTCAGAGTATGAGGCCAGCAGTGTTCTTGACAGAGGGCTGGCAGTACCTGCAGATTGACGTCTCAGCCCACCTGACTGGTGTAGTTGAAGTTGGGGAAGATGGAGACAGCGAAGGCCACTTCTGTGATAACTCCTCTGCACCGAGGTGAACACGTGCCAGGTCTGAACAGGTGGGTGCGCCTGCCCACCCTCCAGCAAAGTGTACAGGGGGATAGAGAAGTTCAAACACTTCTAGATGAAATCTTTAGAAAAAGTGAGGAAGAGAGATTGGAACAGAGGACATTATTTCAAGAGCCCAAGTTATCAAAGACGTAAAGAAACAAAGATACTTTTAATTCATCTACTGATAAAAATTACTCAGCGAGGATTAATAACTGTTTCAGCTCCTAATCTGTTAGTGTCATATCCTGGACTGTCTTGAGCTCCTGGTTTAGCTAGTTATCTATTAACTTCATCCACAGTATTAGAAAAACAAGGCATTAAATCAGTTTAGGTGAAATGAATGGCTGGCAGCCAAACCCAGTCTCTTATATTCCATATTTTTTCTTTAGTTCTTCTACTTTGTCAATGTAAGCTTTCATGGCATCTTCTTTAGAAGTCCCTGCAAGGCATCAACAAGATTATTTGTCAGAGAGGCAGTGCTGCAGAAAGACAGCAGGCTTTAGAGCCCAGGTTAGTGCTGCGAGCCTCAGCTTCTCACCTGTGACAGGGCTGGGGGCTCCACTACCTACGCCTCACAGACCTGGCCAGGACGTGCCTTTCCAAGTCCTTAAGGGAGCCTGGCCCGCAGGGAGAGCCCATAAAGCGCCGAGCTCATGCTGTGTGTGCGGCTGCCTGAGGCCCTCACTGGCTTGCTGGCCAGGTAAGTATCCCACGGCTGTGTCCCACTGACTTTCACGATCGGCTTTGATCTATCAGGTGTTTCTCTGTTGGGCTCTTATCTCAGAGCTGTTAAGCTGCCAGGGAAGAAACAAAGCCAGATACCCTCTTCTCCCTAGAGAGCAGCTTTGGGAGCTCTGAAGACAAGCAGCTGGCCCTTGGAGGGGAAGACAGAGGACACTGGAGATATCACTCAGAGATAGTGATGCCTGGTGTCCTGGATTCTATGCTGAAGGAGAGACTCAGTGGGGATCAGTGTGTGTTCTGGAGTAAGGGCGAGTACATGGGGCCTCAGAATGGTATGGGAATGCCCAATGGGAATGGACAGTCAGAGGGGCATTCCTGTTTCGCTTACTTGCAGATCCTAGGAGTGTATTTATTGTATTCTGGCTCCTTTTGAATTCAAGGGTTTCTCATTTGCAGGAAGACAGAGGGCTTATTCAGAAACGAGCAAGCTAGGACACAAAAGCTGGCAGGCACTTCAGTGCCAACTTCTGGGTCTTGCCGCCGCAGGTGGCATGTGATTAAGTCACAGCCAGGATACTTCTTGGCCTCTGTTCTTAGCATTTAATAGCTCCATTCACCGAGGCTACGATGTGCCAGCAGCCTGCCATGCATTAATTCATTTCTTTTTTTAGGTGCCTTTCTGGCTGGAAGGGAAATAGGGAGGGCTACTTGGGCCAGGGGGTCACTGCCTGGCCTTGTGAGGGAAAGGAAGGTGTGGACAGGAAACCATCCCTGTTCTGAATATTGTAAAGCCCAAGGCAACTTATCACCTCCCAGTCTGTTTGTCAGTAGCCTGGTCCCCTGCCCCTCCACTCTCCAGATGATATTATGACTCAGAGATGGTGTTTTTGGAAATGGCACAAATGGTATCATAAGTGGTCTAGTTTTGGTTTTTTTTTTCCACTCTGGTCTAGGTCAAACTGGTTCCCAGCATGTGCTTCATTCATTCTGTTCTCTCTCCTCACCCCTTACACTCCTTAATGAAGAGTATTTCATTACTGGGTTCCCAAATGAGGGAAGTGTATTAGAACAATTACCTTTCAGCTCATTCCAGGCATCCCACTTGGCCTTGCCTTTGAAGTCCAACATTCCAGGACGTTCTTAAACAAGGGAAGGAAAGACATTAGACCTGCTGCAAGTTCTGATGGGGAACTTTATCCATTTTCTTGCCATGATAGCCATATTTTATCTTCTTTTTCCAGGCTCTGCTATGGCGTTAAATGGGTCTAGTATGGTGGGTTCTGCCTTCAGAAATTCACATGTACAGAAATTCAAACTTAAAATCTAGAGAAAATAGGAGGAAAACTGTTCTCATTACTGGAGAGACCCTTTCTTATCAATTAACTCCAAAATTTCTTTTAAGAACCATACTTTATTTTTTTTAAACAAGTACCACAATCCATTCACCTGGCTTAAAATTCAAACACTACAAAGGGATTACTATAAAGTTTCCTTCCACTCTTCCCACCCAAGGTCTCTCTCCCATGTTATTGTTATCAGTTTTGTAGGTGTCCTTTTCTGTGAACTGTCTGTTCATATTCTTGCCCCATTTTGCTACCAAATTGTTAGTCTATTTCTTATTGTTTTATGGGAATTTTATTCCCCCCACCCCACTGCGAGGGCAAGCTTCCTTTAAGATATGCCATGGTTTTATACCTGGGGAACAGGTCTGGGGAACCTGTTCACCTGGGGAACACACTTACCACCTCCCTGCTGACCTAGTTCACTGCCATGCTAAGAAGAAAGCCCAGGGGAGTGATCGCAGTGTCCACAGCCAGGACCACAGTGTCTGAGAAACAGACACTCTCCCCCGAAGTGCTTGCCGGGAAGCATTCCTGGGGACACCCGAGGGAAACTGCGCCCCAGACTCATCATCAGAATCTGGGATTAGCACATCCCAGTAGCCCTCTCATGATGATGGAAAGGTGGTACATTTGCACTGTCACAGGGGCCACCTGCCACTGGTGGCAGCTGAGCACCTCAAGTGTGACTGGGGAGTGAACTGTTGACTTTATTTTATTTTAACTATTCTCAGTTTAAAATTATGTAGCTGCGTGTGGCTAGTGGCTGCTGTATTGGACCGAAGAGGCCTAGAGTGAGCTGATCAGGAAGTAATGAGAATCCCAAGCCAGTCTACCTACACTAATGCAAAAGCAGGGCAGAGGACAGTCTCTGTGACAATCATGTTTGTCAGAAAAGTGTCTCAGTCACTCTGGCCACCCCCACTTCATTTCCCCTGCCTCCCTGAGAAGGCGCAGAGTTTATAAACCCAGGGTAAAACTCACCTTCACCACAAGACCTTTCTTAACTAAGCCCTCCCTGTGATTTTTATTTTAAAATATTTTATTTATTTGGCTGTGCTGCGTCTTAGTTGCTGCATATAGGATCTTTAACTGTAGGATCTAGTTCCCTGACCAGGGATCAAACCTTGCCCCCTGCAGTGGGAGTATGGAATCTTAGCCACTGGACCATCAGGGAAGTCCCACTCCCTGTGATGTTTGATTTGGCACTGCCCAGGATCCTTAGTTGCCAGCCCACCTGCTCTCCCCTCTACCCTAACTGCAATGGAATTAGGGGCTACACTCACCCTCCTAAACAGGAGCGAGGGGTGACCTCTTCTATGCTACTGTGGCCACCGTCTCTGAGTGCCTGTGTACAATGCATAATGCTATTGCCATATACTCCTGAGCCTGAAGAACTCAGGGGCAGAATGAAAACTGTCCAAGCGAGAAAAGACATTATAGAATATGGTGGTCCAAACCAAGGTCTCAAATCTGTACCTAGATTTTTTGACAGGGAACAAACGGTGGAACTGCTGTCAGGAAAAATGCTTCTGACCTGACGCAGAAAGCCAGCCTGCTCTGGCTGTAGCGGCTGACATCAGGCTTGGCCCAGCTGCCAAGCGCCCCGACTCTGATCCTGTCTGACTGGGGTGGAAATAGTGTGGTTCAACAAAACTACTACTGAGCTGAGAGCTTGGAGCCAGTCTCTTCAAAGCTGGGATCTTTGTTCCTCCCAAATAGATAGAAAATGCTGGTGATAACGAGACAAGTCCTCAAACTGGGATTTGAATTCTGCTGTCTGAGCCACCCAGCCCCACTCAGGAACATGATCTTTGGGCAACCTCTCCCAGCTTAAACCCCAGGAACCACCTTAAGTGTAGGGCTGTGGGTGGTTTTGAGAATGAGGCTGCCAGAGATAACAGTTTCAGCACCAACCAAGGCTGCCAAGCCTACTTTGCTGAATCTGGGCCCTCCCAACTCCACCTCAACATACCTGTATTTACATCACCCACAGTTGCCTGTTTGTAGTGGCTGTAGATGAACAGCATCTCCTCATCTGCCGGCTTGGCCTTAAGCTGCTTAACTTCCTCAGCAGCTTTGTCAAACTCAGCCTAAATATGAGGGAGAGAAGAGGCCTGACTAGAGTTCGGTAAGGAGGATGGAGGGGTTGGAAAGGAAGCACTCTCTTGCCCTGCTGGTGAGGAACAGCAGTCTTCCTCATCTCCTCAACAGGGCAGCTAGGGAGATTCAGCAAAACCAGGAGGGTAAGCACATCCCTTCACTCACTTGGACAACTATGTATGGGGCTCTCTCACTAAACCAGATACCACGTGCTGGAAGCAGAGGTGACGGAGGCAGGCTGACATTGGCTGCAGTGGACACACACTTCACAGAAAAAGCAGCACGGCCAGCTGGCTGACCAGACAGAGGTCTCAGGACAGCTCTGACTTGCGATAGGGCTGGCACTGGGTGACTGAAACAGCGGAGAAAACTGCGTGAACGCAGCGCTTCAGCGGCCAGAGCCCGCTGGCCCCTCCCTCTGAGGCCAGGGGACCGGTGCCAATCCCTGTCCCACTGTCCGGACTGGAGACGGGGGAGGAGCCAAAGATCGCCCAGTCCCGGGAAAGCGTCTAGGTCACCTCTCCTCAGGCTGCGACCCTCCCCTGGCCTCGCGCTGGACACTCGGCCCCTACTTCCCCTGACCTCCAAGCTCTCAACCGCGGCCTCCTGGCTTCTCCACTCTATCTGGCACCCCTACTCCTGCCTTGTCCTTCCGGATAGGGCACTCTGTCCCCTTAGTCTTTCAGTCTATGAAAACCATTACATCCCATCTGTCCATGTTGGACGCTAGCTTCCGACCTCAATTCCTGCTTCACTGCGAACAAAGTCTGTCCTATGGCAACTTGCCAGCAGTTGCGGGCTCAGTAACCGGAAAGTTCCGCTTACAGAGTCTGTTCAGAGTCTGGGCTGGGCAAGGTTCCAGAAATAACAGCACAGCACGGAAGGGAAAGACCCCGCGTGCTTGTGTCTGCGGGATAATCCCCGCACCAGCTTCCCGCCTCGTGGCACCTTCGTAGGCAAAGCTGGGCACGCGTATTACCTGAGACATGCCGGCGGTGTTGCAAAGATTCCAGGAAGTCCGCGGAGGCGGCGAAGAGCAGCAAGCAGTAGCACAAGATACTCAACTGCCTGCGCCTTTAGAAGCGCAGCCTTAGGCCTCTCCTGCTGTGCTCGGACCAGCGAGAGACAGCCAATCAGAAGCCAGATGTACGCTGGGGGCGTGCCCAACCGCCCCACTCTGCCAACCTCGCTTGAACCCGCGGGGTTTGCTTGCGCAAGCGCAGCGGGGAGGAGCCGAAGGGGACGCCGGGAGCAGGTGAGGATCGCGGAAGTAGGGCGCTCTCGGTAGTGACTGCCAGGTGGTCAGAGCTGGAATTGGGTTCCCGGGTCACCGTGGGGAGTGACCCGCGAGGCAGAGAGAGGGGGTGGAAGCTGAAGAGCGGAGGTTTTAAAATTTGTTTCATTAAATCTTGTGTCCTGCGTGAGATGCCGGAAGTCGCGCCGCTGGACGAGTAAAGGCTCACGCTTGGGGAGGGCGAGGGGCCCGGTCCTTCTATGGGGACTAGAGACTTTCTGGGGGTGGTCCCTGGAGAACTGCGCGAGGGTGGGAAGCTGGAATGGTTCCCAGAGGGTCGAAGCCAAGGCCTCTCCTTCTGAGTGTTTGACACGTTCTGTGACTTGCCATTGGCCGTGGTGTGCAGTCCTGTTTTGTTTGGGTGCGGTAATCCATCTGGTGCCCTCAAGTCAGGGACAGTGTCTTATTTGTCTTGACCTCCCTGGTGTCTCAGACGGTAAAGAATCTGCCCAGCAGTGTGGGAGACCCAGGTTGGATCCCTGGGGTCGGGGAGATCCCCTGGAGGAGGGCACGGCAACACCTTCCAGTATTCTTGTCTGGAGAATCCCATGCACAGAGGAGCCTGGAGGGGCTACAGACCATGGGGTCGCAAAAAGCAGGACTCAACTGAGCGAGTAACACTTTCACGTTAACAGACTCGGCCCGGACTAGGTGCTCAGCAGACAGCTGTTATGACTTTCCTTCGTTCATGAGTGTGTACTGAAATCTTGTTAGGTTACTTGCATTGCTCCAGACCGTAAGGTGAAGGATTAAGGGAAGGGAACTTTTGAGAAAGCCCCTCAAGAGGAAGCATTCCAGGCAGAAAATGAGTGTAAATGTATGAGCAGGGAGTGAGGGGGATTGGAGATGAGGCTGGAAGGTTAAGGAGGGGGCAGGCTGGCTGGATGATGCAGAACTTTGAGTTTTATTCTGAGTGAAATGGAAAGTTAGAGGCTTTTGAGCAGAGGATAAGGAGACTAGGGCAGTTTTGCAAAGTTGTTGCAGAGGCTAATATTCTCGGGGGGGGGGGAAGGTGGGTGGGGAAGTTTGGAGGTGATACCTAAAGACCAAAGGGAGAATTTTCTGGCTGCGGTTACAAAGGAGCTTAGGTGAAAGGAGGGAATTGATGGAAAATAAGTCTCCAGAGATCTTTTGATAGAGACCGTTCCTCTCCAGTTCCTAATTTGTAAAGAGGAGTGGACTGCAGATCAACCTCCAGCTTCTTCCCACATTAGTTTATAGCTGTAGCTGTTTAAAGAAAAGCCAGGTAGACGCTTTCAGATATAACTTACTAACTTAATGGAGGTCAGGCTTAATGAAAAGGGGAAAAGTGGAGATGTAGTAGCAGGGAGCACATCTCGAGTCTTCAGCCTATGTGTAATTTTGTTTGAGAAAGCAAAGCCAAACGAATTAACAAATTTTGGAGCTAACTTTGGGGAAATTACATTTGAATTGTAAGAGATGTGAATTTCTTCCAAAATGACAATTCAGAACTGTCTTTTTGCCCTTAGTCCCATAGGAAACTTGGATTCACTTTTGCCTCCATCCCTTGGTGCTCACAGCTTCCTTGATGAAATTCAGGTTATCCCCTGTGTGGATTGTATTTGCAGTCAGATTTATTTTCTAGTAGGCAGGTTTTGCGCTTCCCTGGTGGCCCAGTGGTAGTGATTCCGCCTGCAGTGCAGGAGCCCCAGGAGACGCGGGTTAACACAAAGTTGTGTTTGTGTTGTGTTTGGCACATTTGAAAAGATTAGGTGCCTCTGAAAATGGAATTTTCTTTTTATTCCTCCAAGGTTGGCTAGTGTGATTGAATTTTGACTGAAGTTAAACATTGCAGAAAGCAAAGCTAGTGTTTTGAATTAACTTGGTAATCTCCAACTTAAGTGGGGTTGATTTTTTGGTTGCTTCTTTGGAATATATGACACTTTTCAAAAAAATAAAACCCGACCTTCCACATGGTGGTTTTGTGCCCAGGTTGCTTAAAGTGACTGAAGTATGGAACTGATCTCAGGGAGCCTGAATTTGCAGCGGCTTCAAGTGGGGCTTCAGTTCCTTAACCAGAGATTGAGGCCGGGTCGCTGTGGTGAGAGCCCCAAATCCCAGCCACTAGACCAGTGGTCAGTGACAAGGGCCCTGGCCCTTCAGCTTTGCAGAAGAGAATTTCCACAAAGTCAGAAAGTAGTGAAGCAAGTGGAATATTTATTAAGAGGAAAAAGAGTACATTATATGTGGATAGGGACACAGGGGGACTGAGACAGAGTCCCTGAGTTTTACCTTCGTGGTAATTTGAATTACTTTTATGGGGTATTTCTTACAAGTTTCTGTTGGCCAGTCATTTTGAATTGCCTGGTTCAGAGTCCATGTTTGATACATCTCAGGATCCTCCCACGTGTGTGCATGTGTCTCTTAGCCAAGATAGATTCTACCGAAAAGGCCTAAGGGTAGAACATCTCTTATCATCACTTCCCTTTTGACCTCCACTGAACCCTTTTGCACATATGTAGCTGGGGAGTCGCCTGACTTCAAGAATGGGAAATATGTGGTCTGGGCAGGGAACAGCCTCCTTTCTCAATTTTCCTGCTATTCTCCTGGTGGAGTTTTGGCCCACAGAAAATGAATCTTCAATTGCTTTACCCTGGGCGGGTGGGTGGGAGGGGAGCTGTGGCATCTGCCTCCTGCCTCAGAACTAGTAGTGATTGCAGATCCTAGGGAACCGGGTGCTGTGTGATCTTGAGGAGAAGGAAGAATGTTTTTCCTTGTTGGGGATCCAGCCTAGGCCAAGTTTTGAAATAGCTGAAGCCATGCTTGCCTTGTGCTTCCTTCCCTCACTTTTCAGTGACCTCCACCTATGGAAATGCTGCTTTATGGCCTGTTACCATCTCTGCTCTAGGGAATTGGAATGTCACTCAGCTTTCAACATAAAGAGAGGGTAACACGTCAGCAGCCGGTATTTAATTTTTAAAAGTAAATTTTAGAGTATGTTTGGGGTCAATAGATTATATGAATTTTAAAAAACAATGTGTTTGTTTTTGGCTGTGCTGAGCCTTTGTTGTCAGGCAGGCTTTTCTCCAGTGGAGGCTAGCAGGTGCTGCTCTCTAGCTGTGCTGTGAGAGCTTCTCGTTGCAGTGGCTTCCCTTGTTGTGGAGCACGCAGGCTCCAGTAGTTTCGGCTCCCGGCTCTAGGGCATGGGCTCAATAGTTGTGGTGCACAGGCTTAGTTGCTCTGCGGCATCTTCCCGCACCAGGGAACCATTTTCCAGCACTGACAGCTGGATTCTTTACCACTGACCCCCCAGGGAGGCCCAGAATTTTTTGATTCTACGTTTTGACCCTCCTGGAGCGGTCTTCATATCCCAAGAAAGGACAAGGTTGTTAGCTCTGTTCATCTTGTTAGCATCTATCACAGGTGGTGATTATTTTTTGTAATTATTTTATTTACAATCGCTTTTATTTTAATTTACTCGTCTACTGTCTGAGCCCCTGCCCTACCGAAGTCAGGGAGGATACGGATCACTGAGTATCAGTTGGTGCTCCGTCTCCAAGTACCTGGCACTTAAATGGTGGGTGAATGAGCAGAGTGCTTTTCTCTCTATGAAACATTTTCCTTCTGATTAGCCATGAACTTAGAAACCAACCGAGTTTATTAGAACTAAATGTGAAACTACGAGCTAGAGTAAAGTAGATGAACTCTGGTGCAGGGGCTGTGTCATCTCTTTGTTCTGCCCTCAGTTTTGGAAATAGAACACTTGAGATGTTAGGGAAGATGAGAACCTGATGAGCTGACTTGTTAGCCTAATTGACCCTCGGAGTTAGTGGAGGGGCCATTATCATTACTGCAGCTTTCCCCCACATCCTTGTCTTGCCAGTTTTGGCTGCTCACAGGCTTCACTCGCTGGGTGTCAGTGTAAACCCAGCCAGGCAAGTTATATTAACAGGTAAAAGCAGTTCTTGCCCAGTGGGTGTGAACAGTAGTTTAATATTATGTTTCTTGGTGTAAACTAAACCTCTAATTTCTAAGAGTAACCTAGTCATTAAAACATGAAAATCATTACCAAAAGCTTTATGGTAAAGCTTTACTAGAAGGCAAGGGTTAGGGTATTCACAAATGATGAATGATATTCATTTTGTATTTATTTTATGGTTTCTTGGCATAAGAGACTGGGGTTAATCATTTTTGTGACATTTTATAATTGTAGTTTCTAGTTTCGGGAGTCAGGGTGCTCTGGTTTACCATTCTCTGGCCAGGTAGTACATGGCTTGCGGGTCTATTAGCTCATGTTGTCCTGGAGAAACAACCTGAGTTTGTTCATTAATGATGATACCTATAATAGCAATTTTAGAAAGATGTTATCAGTAACAGCGATTGTAGTCATCTGACTCTGGTTGCTTAGTGCTCAGTACCCAATTGAGGTCAGAAGGGATAAAAAAGGGAATAAAATTTTGGTTAGAGAGATTAACCATAAACTTGGTAAGGGAACTTGATTTTAGGGGGACTTGGGTTCAGAGGCACTTGGGAACTGCTGCTGGGATAGGAGTGGGGAGAGCTGGATACAGTTGTGGCCTTTATTTTGTGAAGGTGTGGGGAGCTGACAGCTGAGGTGAAAATGTACCTTTTCTCCCGCCCACCCCCCATCCCCCAGCCTTTTCTCCTCTTTTGTCTCTTCCTTTTCTGATGAAAAAACTGGTAAGAGGACGCCTGGTTACCAGAGATCTTAACCAGCCCTTCCCCTTTGCCGTTCTTTTCTTCCTTTGGGTATTTGGAGAAATTGGGTGAGAGAACGGGCATGTGGGTAAGACATCCATGAGTGTATGAGTCTCACCTTTCCCGTGTCCTGTTTTTGCCCAGCCAATATGGGGTTGGGGGGTGGTTTGGGCTTAGTTGAGACATGAAGACCAGGGCTTGCGTAGAGGTGGAGGGTTTTCCTGGCAGGAAGTGACCTTCACTGGCTGGGAGTTAAGAAGGAAGGAAAGTTACTTATAAGT